GGCCATGGTTTGCCACATTCCCAACATTAACAAACATAAAAGCCAAACAATGCCTTGGCATCTCCAATCTGCATCACATGTGTACCCCAAAAGGCTGATTAAAAACAAAAGATGCCACCCCAAGGAACCTCTTTTGACTATGGAATGAGGAACCTGGGCCATTTCCAGGATCTTCCCTGGTGCACACAGTCCAGGCTTTTGGGTTTTCATGGGGCAAAAATTATGTGAGCCTTTCCATTTCCCCAGCCTACGCAAGAGTACATTTTCCACACTCCAAATCAAAATCACTCAACTCCACAGAGAGTGAAGTTGACTGAATAGTCATTTGAAACTTTCAGCCTGCATAGAAAGGAGAGCTGGGGTGTGGGCAGTGAGTGACAAATGCCTCTCTGTGTCCCCGATGAATCCTATAACACACTGGGGAACAGGCACCAAGGAAGCTGACCCAAGGAACCAGCTTTGTGGACACCCGAAGTCCAAAAGGAGAAAGAGCTGAACCTAGTACCGTGTTCTGTTAGTACAGGTGGCTCCCCCGGGGTAGTTTCCAACTATGTGCATGCCTGCATTAAATAAGTACATAAGATTATTGTCTGGTGAGAGCCGTATGGTCTACAAAGTTGAAAATAACAGGTTAACAATGAATGTCATGGAGCAAGTCTAGAGTCAGGGTTTCATGTGGACTTAGGCTCTTAACATACAACCACACAAAGATGTGTACCCAGACATGGGTTACCATACAGTCAAGGCTGGGGCAACCAGCATCAATGAGCACAGCCTGTGTGTGGCCTCATTTTCATTCCCCAAAACATCATTCTCTAGTAAAATGATTTAAGGCTCCTTGGAGAAGTAGTTGGTCCCAAGAAACATGAAGATAAGAAAAGCCTGGAGCATCTTCTGGGGCCAGAAAGTAATAGAGGTTTAGAAAAGGAGGGACAGAGGCCCGTGAGGAAAGGAAGAGGGCGCCACCTCAAAGACACCAACCTTAAGAGCTTTCATTTGTACCATTCCCTAGGGAACAGAACCATTCCCCACCCCCCACCCCCCAAACCTATGTTGATACTGAAATCCCAATTTCTGGAGCAGGACTCATGTGGACTGTACTCGGAAGGAGCATCTTTGCGAATGTAATCAAGTTAAGAAGAGTTCTTACGACAGATTTTTTTTTTTTTGCAGCGGGCCCTAAACCCAAGGGCAGATAGATGGCCTTATAAGGAGGGAAAAGACACCCAGAGACATCTCCAGACACAGATCTTCAGTGACCCAGTCTCTAACCAAGACATGCTGAGAACGTTCTAGCAACCACCTCAAATTAGGAAAGAGGCATGAATCACCTCCCTCAGAGCATCTGATGCACCCAACCCTGGGGCAAGCTTGTTTCGGGCTCTAGACTCCTGATCTGAATAGCCTCATGTTGTTTCAGTCACCAAGTTCTTGGTGACCTGTTGATGGGAGCCTGGGGAAGTCAACTCCAGTGCATGGTAAATTATCAGATGAGTTGACCACAGGGGAGTTACTGGCCTGATCTCCAAGTATCTCTCTCTCCTTTT